AACAATTTACTTTGTTTTAGCGCACAATCCGACTACCCACCGCTACTTATACGTGTGCTTGCGTACCAAATGCGCCATGCTATAAGCAGGTTGGTTTCATAGGATCGTAGCATACGCTTGGCACACTTGTAAGCATACACATAGCATGAAAAACGCCATCACTTGCCACACAACAGAGATCCACTGCTGCGGTGCGCAAGCTAAAAACAACTTGCACAAGGAAAATACCATAGAATGGAAAGGGGTGTTCGGGAAAATGAAAGTAAAATTCTATAACAAAATCGTTGGAAATCCATCATATAATTGACTTCTTTTGAATCTCTGACTAAAATAGGTTTTGATGAATGGGAATAAATATATGTGCTAGGCTGGCTCAGGGGACTGAACATGACTACATGTAATTGCGTCCATTCTCCTGAGCCTGTCTTTAACACACGTTTAAGAACGGCCAATCAATGTTCAATCCCTCGGTAATGACTTTAAAGGACACTTATTTTCATTTTTTTTGTTAATTTTTCACCGTTCTGCAGCCGATGCTAGTGCTAAAATCATGACAAAGACGTTGTTGGTTTCATAATCTGCTTCATCTCTAATCTCAGGAAGGATCAAACAATTTGAAATAACGCTGAGCTCGACGTCGATGTCACACGCGACCTCACACAAAGGTGAGTCACTCTCCAAGGCCTCTTAGTGAGGCTTTCATGCGGAGTATTCAAGAAGAAATCCACCAAGTACCAATTGTCTTGAAACAATCGTTCTGGCACGAGCTTTGACAGGTGCATCGGTTTAGAACCGACAAATTCAACGGTTGTGCCTCACCTTCAAGGATGGCAAGATGAACAGATTGTAGTGTTTTCTTGAGAACTCGTTATCTTCATGAAGTTCATTTAAATAACGACGCACGTTTTGGTCAACATTGCGTGTGGTGGGTACAGTTGATTGACCATCGGTTCTGCAAACATAACAGTCCAAGTTCCCTGCAGCCTCGAAAACCTACTTTAACAGAAAGCTTTTTATCCAGAAATATCTGGAAATTATCCAGCTACATATGATACATAACCATTTTGGGCAGTCATTTGAAAGAAAAACGAGCTTTTTGGTGGTCGGTAGTTTGCCGGCATAACGATCTCATATATTCTGAAATAAATATTGATACATTTATATAGATTAGAAGTTAATAAGTAGGCCTTTAAGGAATTCAATCCCAGTTATAATCAAGTCCAAACTACACGTTAACATACCATCTTCTGTCAAAATTCAGGAATTTTACCGGTTTACTAAACAAGATTTTGTTGCCTGCAATTGTACTCTCAAATGAATTTACAAATCTTCAATATTCAATAAATTGATCACTCCCTCAGTTGTACGCATACATTATTACATGTAGGCCTATCATTGCAGCGTATGTTTAATTACACACTTACAAATCGTATGCGGGATCGATACCCCTGGAATACACGCAGTGAATTGTATTCAAGATGGCTACTGAAATAAACAAGTTAGCGGGAGGTTTCAGGGTTTACAGCGGTAGTCTGGTGCTGAAAATACAAAAATACACCGCGCAACTATAAGAAGATAAACGTCACAAATAACATATCACAACTGGCAAATACGTTTACAAACTCACACATAATTCCGTATAGCTTGCATATGCCCATGCAAAACACGACGATAAATCTTCCAAATATCGACTCAACTTACGAACAAATACACACCGTCACGACAGTGTTGCAATAAGTTTCCCAAGTCACGTGAGAAGAAGTATAAATAAATACAAAGTGATCTCAAATACACATTATGGACACATTTTCTATCTTAAACATGACGAAAACGCAAGTGAACTTACAGTCTTCAGCTTCCGGTTCCGACGGCGTTTAACGAAGACTGACCCGAATTGGAATTTCCCGCACTGACATACCCAGTAAGATCACGTGGCAAAGGAATAGCGCGACGTGATTGGCTGAATGATACCACATGACTTAATATGCATTGCAAATTACATATCAATGAATAACAATACGTAAAGCAATGTAAGAACCGTGTGGCCTGACATCATATGCAAGTTTAACCCAGTCATAAAAAGGAATCTTCAAAGGCAACAATTCGCACAAGTCGAACCCAGCTGGACTAGACAATGGGTGCGTTCGATTAGCTTACACGTGTAAGTCAAACTTACACGAGAGCGTTCGTTTAGCCATCACGTGATGTTCGTGTCTGCCCTGGTGTCAGCCACCTGCACTACCCCAGCTGGCGAGCGGGTCTCTGGAGGCTGCCCGAGTGTAATGACGTCACGGATGGACTGTTCGAGCATGGACGAGGCGGGGACTTGACCTTTGTCCCAGAATGCCTTGGAAAACACACTGCAGCGTTCGATAAGCCTCATTTTGAGGCTTCCCTTGAGTGTAACACTGGTGTGTTCAGGGAAGCAAATCGAACGCACCATACTGTACTATGCAAATTACACTACACCAAATCGCTAGAAGTAAAATAACGTACCGGCGACGATAACACGTGGTAAGCCTTGTTTAGTACAGGACACTGAGAGTCTGTGCTTCTGCCAACAAACTCAAATGGAAGTTGACGAGGGATTATATCTGTGCCGTCAAATCACTGATGGTCATTTTGCTCTACGTCTAAGAGAAATCAGTGGGCCATATGATATAATAGTAGTATAGCTGGCGTCCATGCGGTGCCCTAGTATAAGCAGGAATGTTCAGCAGCATACACTAGAACTATACGGGGGTAATGGTCATGATAAAGATGCACAGGTACATCTGTAATGTGTATCAGATTTGTGCAGAGTCTCACATTAGAACGGCTTAGTTAAGGCTTTTTATAATTGATGTCCCTTTTTAGTGATATTGCAATTGATATTGATATTTAGTTGTTAGAAACTACTAAAAATACTTCCACAATCTGCTGCAATTGTTTTGCTCGTCACAACAAAGTGTGGAAGGATTCAATAACCTACCCCACCTCAAAAGTTGGGGGGACATATACCCCCACCCCCCAGGATTTACGCCCATGGTTTTAACCAAAAATCATCGACTGTAATGCACAAAACAGCTTAGGAACAAAATTAAGAACAGTGTATTGTAACATTTTGTAAACGTATTTATCAGGGGCTCATTCAGGCCTCATTTTTATTTTGCATTTGGAGGATCGGAATTTGTTTCTGTCTTTTTCAATTATCGCATTGTATATGTCGGAACAAATTTAACCTGGCCTAGAATGAAGGCCGTTCCTCAATACATTTAAGTAACATCAGCGTAGTGAATGGTCTCCATTACGTCTTCATAGTTTGGCGCTAAACTCAAAGAGATACGTAAAAACTTCGTCGTAGTCGGGGCGGAGTTGCTCCTCAACTCTCTCCTTCCAGGCAGCGAGGTTTGGGTGCTTGGCTAGCATGTCGGTCCTCGTGACCGCAAGGACTTGCATCAGCTGACAAGAAACAAAAAGGGAAAGATGTGCAATTATACCATAGGAAAGACAAGTAGTTACACTTACTCGAGTTTCAGTCCTTTACAACTTCGGTCTGTCCCATAAACGTGGTGTCTATTGCTGTCTATTGTAAGCATGCGAGTAACATGTCAACTGGTGGTGCTTTTGACAGACATGATTTTAAACAGATACTTTTAGCATGATGATACTTTTATCTCCATTGTAATTCGCCGATCCACAGAATATTTTTAAAAGCACTAAAAATTGATTTTGTGTCACACGACAAGGGTTCAGCCTAGTTTTAAATCAACGAATGATATAGAAACACTTCTATGCATACAGTCTGCAAAGTTGGACCAGGTTCAAAACCACCAGAGAAGGTCAATACATACAAACACGCAACCAGGCATGACGGGTGTATAACAGTGTGTCGCCGCTTAGTGCCATTCATTTTCCCATTTCCTTATTAACATGGAGGAAGGAACATGTACAGCCCCAGTTATCAACCATATAGTTGAGCATAAATAACATACATCAAACGGAAGTATCAGTTTGGCTTCATGAGACGATATTATCACTTAAAATTGCATATTATGCGAAAGTGCAGGAGATTCAGACGTCGTTTTGTTAATTTTTTTGAGGGATAACGTCACACAACGTCTGTTCTTCTGTCTCTTTGTTGACGTCTTGCGTGTCGTCAGCGTTCGGGAACAAATGTTTCATAATAGTTTGCACAACTATATTTACTATAGAGTTGCTAAAACGTAAACACCTTAGTTTGAATGAAAGGCAAAATGAATCTTGTTGGTCTGCAAACAAGGGGACAATAATTACCCCCGACAAACAGCATATGTCGGCGATGCTGATTTCATCCGAAGCAACATATTTCTTGTCTCCTAGAAACACTTTCTCAATGATTCCGAGAGCCTTGTCGAACGTCTCGAGATCTTTGGCCAGTTTGGCTTCGTCGACTGGATTTCCAGTCCATCGCGGCGTTACGACCTCAAAATGACGATCAATACAAAAATCCAATCAAAATAAATTCTTAGCATTTCTCAGTATACCGGTACAAACCTTAACTTGATCCTAAAACAGGAAGCGGTTCTTTTAATAAACCAACGGTAAAGCTACCCCTTTTAAATTATCTCCTATTTTTGGCGTCGGAGGTGGGGGTAGTCGGCACAAGTGAAAATCTTAGTACCTAAGTTACATAATAAGGCGAAATATACTTATGCAAAGTGTTCCATATTCGAGTGTCTTACTCTGAACTTGAAACCTGAGTGACCTTATCATCAACCGTTATTACAGATGTTTTTGTCCTCGAAACTAATACAAGACATGTTTCATATTGTACATACCACGTCATGGAAAACGTCTCCTGCAGCTTTCTGGAGACCATTGTGATGCCATGCTAAATACCAATTGACTTTGGCCTGTATCTTCAAGTCGTCCGGGTACCAGTGATCGGCCACTTTGTATTTACGAGCCAGATACCTCAAAATCGCCATACTGTGAGGCAGACACCAGACAGGTACCAACTTTATTATATATAACAGGTTTGCCCTTACCCAACGTATATT